CGCCCCAGTGACTTCACTGTTTTGCTATTGTTCAATATTCTGTTTGTGATGAGCCTAAACTATTGCAATTTATGGCTTAAGCTTGGTTGCAGGTATTGTGCTCCAGGCTGCTTAGTTTGTTATTTTTCTACTTAATTTATGTTTATTAATTTGCAATCTTCATATATATTTGCACTGGTATTACTAAAATTTTTTTAATTCATGCAGCACTTGAGATAAACTCTCGTTCTGTTGCTTACCACGTTGCAAATGTCCAAAGTGATAACTTGGGCATGTTTTTCCCTGAAGTTGTTTTGGGGGTTTTCGATTAGCTCTGGGGTCCGTTTCACAAAGCGGGTTCACCAAACTCTGAGTGTAATCCTGAACTCTGGTTCCAGAACAGCGGATTTGAGTCAGTTCAAACAACTCAGAATAGTTTCACCTGGAGTTAAGCGCGTGCACCACAACTATAAAAAGCCAGCATCAATGGAGCCCCTAATTCGACGAGTCGCCCCACTAGCACTAGAAATCTTGATGCGTTCATACAGCGAGTTTGAACACATTTTTAAAAAGAAGTGCAACACCGCTGCAGCTGCAAAAAAGAGGGGACGTGGGAGAACATTGCTGCTCGGGTTAGTGCATGAGTTTAAATGTTGTCCTTTGCAATCACAATAATATTACAGGGGAAAGCTGCTTGAATGGTAGCCTATAAATTTATTTCATTTAGGTGCAATCCCGTGGGGGAGAAGCGCACTTGGCAGCAGCTTAAGATGAAATATAAAAACATTGTTCAAGTTTCAGGTTGCAGCACAATGTCACTAAGAGAATGTAATTTAAAATTAATTTACCAGATCTCTATATCGTTTACCAGCCATCCTGTGGAACTCCTCCTTGATGGCTCTAACAGGTGTATGTCCAGGGAAAACGACAAAGATGGGTAAAAGCCGTTTCAGGGTGAGGCACACTTTTCTGACCGCCCTGCCTGACTCAAGTGCTCTGCATCTAGAGCTGTCCCGAGGCATAGGCAGTATAGGCAAATGCTAAGGGTGCCGACATTCACGGGGGGTGCCACAAGCGGAGGAGGGGAAGTGGCCAGAATGCACAGGCAGTATTTGGCCGCAGATTTCAGATTGGTTTATATATTATGAAGATGTTTTCTCTTTATTACATGCAAAATAGTGTGGCGCTCAGGGAAGGAAAGAAGAGAAAGAAGAAAAGGAAAAAGACACAGGTCCGGTAACGTCATTGCGATGGAATTCATTAGATGAAGCAGGGTTGTCGCCGTTGTTATAACAGAGAAACGGCCCGTTACGCTGCTGCCTGAAAAAATTACACAAATTGGGCCAATACTTTGTTTTCGAGGGTATGTAGTGGGAAAATGATGATTTCTCCACGTTGATTTTACCCAGCTAACTGACATGTATTCAGGCAAACATTTATAAAGAAGCGCCGTTGCAGTTTCTCTGCCGTTAGCAGCAAAGACGGTATGTTAGCGTCTTAGCTGCTAACGTTAGCAGTGAAGACGTTAGCGGACCGTCTTCGCTAACGAATAGCAGACCACGGTAGAAAAAACTGCATCGGCACTTGTGGTTAAATATTTGTCTGAATACTTGGCAGTTAGCCAGGGAGTGTCGCTTATATACCCCCCCCGGTACACTGTCAAACATTTCTGGTGAGAACCCTGTTAGGTTAATGGATAGTTACTGTTGTCAGAGCAATGCTAACTTGCTAGCTTATTTTGGACGATACCAGCATTGTTTACTGTATGAAAATTATAAGTGAAATTCACTGGGATGCTTGGAGGCGGCAACTACAATCTTGCCAAGGGCACCAAATTAGTCAGGGCCAATAAAATTGGCCCTGACCAATAATAATAATAATAAAAATAATAATAATAATAATAATAATATTGCATCTCTGACATTGTACAAAAAAACTTCCATTTGCAAAGAAACACAGCGCTACACACAATATCTGTGTTGCACATGTAAGGACAGATTAGGTTGTATGTAGATGATGGACTGTGATGTGAAACGGGACCGCTCAAAAAGACAATTGTTGGGAAATGCTAGAACATCTATGCGCGGTCTGATAACCATCTCCCGACCAGTATTTAATTCTCTGCGCAGTAATGCTGCACCTTCATTCACGGATCGTTATCAAAAGGACATTCCATGTTAGTGGAAAAAGTTGCCACCTACTGTGCCTAATGGACTTCTAATATAGCCTACTGACTGATTTTTTTAAAATGATTTTTGACAGACAGCAGAACTAGGCTACACCAAAACTCACCTGCTGACTGACTGAATGAATGAGGAAATCAAATAACGTGTGTGGGTGAAGGAGGGCGGAGACAGAGAAACTCAAGGTTCATTGAGAAAACCCTGTCCGACCAGGTTAGGTTCATAGAGTCTGTTACTACGGTAACTGACCGAGGTGTTAAGTTACTGCTCTCTGCGAAACAGGCTAAAGTTAACCCTCTTTCTCTGGTTTGAGTTACTGGAAAACTCAGAGTTTCCCTCATTTCAGGGTTAACAGACTCAGAGTTTTCACTAAACTTGTTTTGTGAAACGGACCTCAGGCATGCTATTTAATTGACCGAAAGCTCAGCACCCGTACGTCCCCATCTGAATAATTAGCCCCCCCGCCGCCGTGGAAACGGTGCTGTCAATGCTAACTTAAACACCAAAACTGGTCTTAGTAGCCAAAATCTGCCTTTGCGTCCCACCACTTCCAGAACTCCGCTGGCTATCAAGGGGCAAGGTGTTGTCATGCTCTTACAAACTTAAATCAGAAATCGCCACATTCCTCTCTGAGACTAACTCCCTGTATGCAGAACTGTTTGCCAACGAAATGTGGCTGCACGAGAGCATCAGCTGGTGGAGCTGTCATGTGATCAGACGCTCAGAAACAAATGTGGGGAGGGAAGCCTTTCCCACTTCTGGTGCAGCGATGTGATGGCTGAGTATCCATCCCTCGCCACTCTTGCAGTTAAAACAATCTTACCATTCAACTCAACCTGTTTGTGTGACAGTGGCTTCTCTACCTTGGTCCAGCTCAGGTCACAGAAGAGAAGCAGGTTGGACACTGACCATGATCTGAGAGCAGCTCTGTCTACTGTCACCCCAGACTGACAGTTTAATCAAGAGTAGAGCACATGCCCAACTGTCTCATTAACTTCAACAAATGACCTGATTAGGCCAAAACTTTATTTTCGAGTAGTTTTGATATTTATTTTATTCACTTTTGTACATGCAGTTGTCATGGTCCTGCTTAGTTTCTTATTAATTTGCTTAAAATGGAGTGAAAATATGTTGTTTTGTGCCCTTTTTTATTTTGTGCAGTATTGTACATGCAGTTGTCATGGTCCAGTTACTATGCATGGTTATATGCTCTGAAATACACGTTGCACAGGAAACTATATTGAATTCTTCAAAAAATTGGGTCACGACTCAATGACCATGGGAAAATGTGGGTCCCAGGGTGACACCAGTTGAGAACCCCTGTTCTAATGCACTCTCTTCTAATACTAGTACTACTATTAGAAGGAGGGCGCAATATTTTTCTTCTCCCTCTAACAGTTTTTCCTGCCAAATCTACATGTATCAACATTTGCTACGAAGGGCCACTTCCTTGGTGTAAGTGTATGTGACTACACTGATTACCTCTGGTTGGAGGCTAGAGCTGACTTTCTTACTTTCAGACTGTAATGATGTTTTACTCAGTGCACCACTGGAGGCCTCTCCTAAAGGGCCTACAGATAGCTTCAGGACAGGAGCTGTCTGGTGCAATAAATGGTTTGTGCCACGACCTTGTTAAGTATGCATTAAAACAAAAAAACAAGAAAGCTGATCAGGGCAGTTCAGTGTAAAAGCAAGGATCACAGTGCTCAGGTTTGTTTGCAGCATCATAGGACAAGAGGAAGAGAAGATCTGGCATTGCTCACATCCTGAATGTCACATCCTGGCAATGTATACTAAAAACAGAGCCAACATAAAAAACACCCAAGTCAATATCAGTCAAAGAAAACACTAACACCAGTGTGGTTCCTTCCTGTAAAGATCCTTTAATACACTCCCATCATTTGTTCAGTGATGGGGCAAAATCTCATCTTTGTTTTCTGCAAATATAAATTCCACTGCTAAAAATCTAAGTAGATATTTCGAAGAACTAAAGTCTTCAGGGAATTCCCTCTCGTTGTCTCAGTGTTTCTGTGGTTGTAGTGAAAGAATAGTAACACTAGTAGGGAATTTTGCGCTTTGAAGACTGAAAATTTATATGCAAAAATGGAAGCCTATGCTTTTGAGCGGGAGTAGTAGCCAGACTGATTTGGAAGTATTTTAATTTTACTGTTCTGTTTTTCTTCTGTTTTGTCTATTATTGTTGATAATGTTCTAACCGCTCTCACAGATTCCATCACAGAGTGACATCTTTTTTTTTTTTTTTATATATATATTTTTTTGGCTTTTGCCTTTATTTAGTGCAGTAGAGGGAGACAGGAAAGGGGGGAGAAGAATGGGGACAGACCTGCAGCAAAGGGTCGTGAGCGGGATTCGAACTCACGACCGCTGCATCGCGGAACTACAGCCCCTATTTATGGGCCGCCCGCTCTACCAGGTGAGCTATTGGGGGGCCCCACAGAGTGACATCTTGACTACAAATAGTTATTCTTTGTTCAACCAAAAGACCAAGATCTAAACAAACTGACTTAATCAACTAAACATTAAAGATTCAGCAATGTTTTGTACAAAAGCATTAATATATATAATTTTTTTTTCAGATGAACACAACTTTGACACAAGTTTCAAGAATGTATGTGAGACGTTAGGGAGACATCCACACTATTGTTTGTACTAGACAACTCGGTGTGGTTTGCATCCAGTTCTGGAGTGGAGTGTGGAATATGTGTAGAGCTTGAATGGTATCAGATCGATGGAAATCTAAAGTTTCAAAAGGCCTCCACTGGGGATCACATTGAGGGCTGAGGAAAGGCTGGTCGATCGACTAGCAGCAACTCTTACCTTGATTATAGCCTCCAGCTCATCGTAGGACACACATGGGTGTTTTTGCAGGAAGGCTGCTTTCTCTGCTGTTATTGTGATCTTTTGGTTATTTTCAAAGGGTTGCTCCAGTGCCCGGAACACCAAGCCCCCTGCCACAAGGTACGCCACCACCACCACAAACACCGCTAGTACAGTCTTCAACTTCATCATGGTGAAAGGGGCTGAGCCATCAGCCACCGCCTCCATGTTGGCCACCATGGTGGTGGGACGGGAGGAGACGGAGAGCCGTGGCAGAACACAGCCCATTGGATTCTGCATCGTGGCCACACTGGCATGCACTAAGCTGGACTGAAGCATACCTGGCTGCACCTTCTTCGGGGGAACCAGGTTGGTCTGGACTGCCACTGAAACAGAAAAAAAAAGAGAACAGTGTGCTGTAGTATCTTCATGACAAAGTGATGTTTAGGGATACTGATGATCGCTCTGATATGTAACAGGTGAACAGTTGTAGTTGTAGAGAAAGAAATAATGTGCTCAAGGAATTTATGGCATAATATATATACAGGCAAAAACCAGAAGTTTACATACACTGTATAAAAAGACATATGAGCTTTTTTTTCCCACACTGACATTAAATCAGACTAAACTTTTCCTGTTTTAGGTCAGTTAGGACTACCAAAATTATTTCTATTTGTTAAATGTCAGAATAATGAGAGAGGTACATTTTTTATTTATTTATTTATTTATTACAGCTTTTTGCTCTTATTAGCAGGACAGTGGAGAGAAACAGGAAAGGGAAAGATCTGCAGCAAATGGTCATGGATGAGAGTCGAACGTACGTCAGGGACTGTAACCCCTGTATATGGGTCGCCATCTTATCCAGTTAAGCTAGAGAGTGTCATTATCCACAGTGACAGGAGTCCTGTACTGAAATGGGCTGAAAGGCTACTCAGAGAGGAAGTTACGCCAAAAGCAAAATTTGCAAATGCACACAGGGACAAAGACTTGATGAAACTAAAATGGAACTGTTTGGCCACAATGACCATTGTTACATTTGGAGGAAAATGGGAGAAGCTTGCACGAGAAAACCATCCCAACTGTGAAGTACGGGGGTGGCAGGGTCATGTTGTGGGGGTGTTTTGCTGCAGGAAGGACTGGTGCACTTCACAAAATAGATGGCATCATGAAGAAAGAACATGAACTCCGGAGAAAACTCTGTGCGCACAGAAAAATCCAGATGACTGAAATTGAGCGTATGCCTGAATCCAAGCACATTTCCTTTGTACATCCCACTCAGTGTGCAATTGACCGCGTGTGTTGGAGTACCAGACTCCTCCCTCTCCACGCCTCCATTTAAATATTCAAATTTGTACAAACAGGGTGTGCAGCTGGGATTCCCCTCTCACGCTGTCCTCTGGCTTCAACAGCAAATGCAAGAGGGGTGAGTGAGAGAGTGTGTGTGAAGCGGTGAATGCTGTGGGGTCAGAGCAGCGCACATTCACAAAGGTAAAGAAAAAGTAGTCGGACATCAAGAGGAAGACTGTTGCAAACCTCAAAAGCATGGCCAAAAGAGGCAGGGGGAAAGGAGAAGATGAACCCATCCCATTTGAGCAGAGAGTTGCCGCTATTGTGGGTGACACTGCTCTCACACGTGGGTGACTCAGATCACCCCCAAGGTAAATATATATTGTGTATTTGTGTAACTCAAAGATTTGTTCATTATACGGGTCATACAATAATCTGCTTACAGCCAAACAAGAAGTTCATGCGTAATCATGCCAGGATATCAAAGAGGAAATCAAAGACTTTGTCTCATGTCAAATTACTCAGTTTATTATTTTAACAGACAATGAGGCACAAGAAGACGGTGCGACACAGTCCCAGCCTCCTGTCACAGACCCAGGGGATTCCTCCAGCCTCCCCGGTGTCAGCTGATCCTCTGGTCTGCCGCAACAGCCAGCTGCTGATGCCCATCCAACCAGCTGTGTCCTCACCCGTGCAGTGCTGGAGTCACAAGAGGACATCGTGAGGGCATCAATGTGCGCCTGGACCGATAAATAAATATTCTTACAGACATTAATAATCCATTAAATGCATTTGTCAACAAGTGAATTCTGTGTCCTTGCCTTTTTGTATGATTGATATCACATGTTGGGTCCATCGTCTGGTGGGGGGACGTGCTGCTCTGACAGTTGGATGGCGTGTAGGTGTGCCATATTGTGGAGGATGCCACATGCCATCACAATGCAGCACACCTTTTCAGGTCTTTAGAGCAGCACACTCCCAGTCCGGTCCAGGCAGTGCCACCCCCCCAGCATGCCAACTGTCTTCTTGATGACTGATCGAGTGCGTGAATGGGCATCACTGTACCTCCCCTCTTGGTCAGTCTGGGGGTTGGTGAGAGGGGTCATCTGCCAGGTTATCAGTGGGTAGCCATGGTCACCTGGGGTCAATTAAACAGAGTCAACATCTAGGTATATTTTGTACATGATTTTTTTCCATTTGGTAATTTGACACACCACTAACATGGATCACACACTATTGTGAGTGAATGCAGTTGTGCGCCGGGAAAAATGTGAGGCCGATCAAGTCACTTTAAACTTTACGCATGTGTTTTTTGACATAAGTACTTTACACACAGAGACATTAATGGGCTTGTTGGAAAGCTCTGACCCTGCAGCAAAACAGCAAGTCACTAACTTTAGCCACTGACAAGTAATGATGCTGTGAAAACAGGATGATATTCGTGGGCGCACATGCTTAACATGTGTCAGGGGGATTATTATTAGGACAATTGAATGATTTACTCACCAAGAAGCCACCCATCTCGCATTGTGCCAGCTTGTAGCCTGTTCCCAACCATGCTGTTGGTCAGAATGAATGAGTCGTGTGTTGATCCAGGCCACCTTGCAACAATGTTACTCAAATGCATTTGCGCATCACAGATAATCTGAACACTGACTGAATGAAAATGCTTCCAAATTTATCTTGTCTCCTGTGGACTCACCACCCGCAGAGGGAGTCATAGGGGTCGGGTGCAGAGAGGATTGGGTGGCGGTCGAGGGGGGCTGCCTCGACGGCCTGGTCCGCATACACAGCCTCTGGTTGTTGGGACGTGGAACGTCACCTCGCTGGGGGGGAAGGAGCCTGAGCTTTTGCGGGAGGTTGAGTGATATCGGCTAGATATAGTCGGCCCCACCTCCACGCACAGCCTGGGCTCTGGAACCCAACTCCTGGCGAGAGGCTGGACGCTCCATTTCTCTGGCGTTGCCCGCGGGGAGAGGTGGCAGGCCGGAGTGGGCTTGCTCATTGCCCCCTCAGCTTAGCTGTCACGTGTTGGAGTTCACCCCAGTGAACAAGAGGGCCTTCAGGTTGGGGACAGGTCTCTCACTGTTGTCTCGGCTTATGGGCCCAACAGCAGTGCAGAGTACCCAACCTTCTTGGAGTCTCTGGGAGGGATACTAGATAGTGCTAGACTGTGGACTCAGAGGCGGACTCGTCCATCACCCGGCTGAAGTCACAGAGGTGGTTAGAAAGCTCCTCAGTGGCAAAGCTCCGGGGGTGGATGAGATCCGTCCTGAATACCTCAAGACTCTGGATGTTGTGGGGCTGTCCTGGTTGACACGTCTCTGCAACATCGTTTGGCGGTCGGGGACAGCGTCTCTGGATTGGCAGACCAGGGTGGTGGTCCCTCTGTTTAAGAAGGGGGACCGGAGGGTGTGTTCCAACTACAGAGGGATCACACTCCTCAGCCTTCCCGGTAAGGTCTATTCCAGGGTACTGGAGAGGAGGATCCGACCGATAGTTGAACCTCGGATTCCGGAGGAGCAGTCTGGTTTTCGTCCCGGTCGCAGCACGCTGGAGCAGCTCTATACCCTCCATCGGGTGCTCGAGGGCTCATGGGAGTTCGCCCAACCAGTCCACGTGAGTTTTGTGGATCTGGAGAAGGCGTTCAACCGTGTTCCTCGTGGCATCCTGTGGGGGGTGCTTCGGGAGTATGGGGTCCGGAGCCCTCTGTTAAGGGTTGTCTGTTCCCTTTACGACCGCAGCAGGAGCATGGTTCGCATTGCCCGTAGTAAGTCAGACCTGTTGCCAGTGTGCGTTGGCCTCCGCCAGGGCTGCCCTTTGTCACCGGTTCTGTTCATTATTTTTATGGACAGAATTTCTCGCCGCAGCCAGGGGGAGGAAGGGGTTCGGTTTGGGAACCACAGAATTTCATCTCTGCTGTTTGCAGATGATGTTGTTCTGTTGGCTTCATCAAACCAGGACCTTCAGCGTGCACTGGGGCGGTTTGCAGCCAAGTGTGAGGCGAGCGGGATGAGGATCAACACCTCCAAATCCGAGGCCATGGTTCTCGACCGGAAAAAGGTGGCTTGCCCTCTCCAGGTCGATGGAGAGTCCTTGCCTCAAGTATCTCGGGGGTCTTGTTCACGAGTGAGGGGCGGATGGAGCGTGAGATTGACAGACGGATCGGTGCAGCGTCTGCAGTGTTGCAGTTTACCGGTCAAATCTATGTTCCTACTCTCACCTATGGTCATGAGATCTGGGTAATGACCGAAAGAACAAGATCGCGGATACAAGCAGCCGAAATGAGTTTCCCTTTGCAGGGTGGCTGGGCGTTCCCTTAGAGATAAGGCGAGGAGCTCAGTCACGCAGGGAGGAGCTCGGAGTAGAGCCGCTGCTCCTCCACAGCGAAAGGAGCCAGTTGAGGTAGCTCTGGCATCTTTTCCGGATGCCTCCTGGACGCCTCCCTGGGGAGGTGTTCCGGGGGTGTCCCACCGGAGGAGGCCTCGGGGAAGACCCAGGACACGCTGGAGAGATTGTGTCTCTTGACTGGCCTGGGAACGCCTAGGGGCCCCTCCGGAAGAGCTAGGGGAGGTATGTGCAGATCGGGAAGTCTGGGCGGCTTTGCTAAGGCTGCTGCCTCTGGGACCCGACTCCGGATAAGCGGAAGAAGATGGATGGATGGATTGATGGTATTTATCTTGTGATGGTACCTTTATAGCAATGTGCGTATGCCACATTTTTGTGCATACACACCCATTGTACATGAGGCCCCTGACTTTGAAGAAAGTAATAAAAAATTCTATAAAAAAATTCTCTCTGTCATTATTCTGGCCTTTAGCAAATTTAAATAATTTTAGTAATCCTAACTGACCCAAAAAAGGAAAAGTTTAGTCTTGTGTAATTTCAGATGAGGGAAAAAAAAGGTTATATCTGACCCATCTGCACCAAATCAGTCACATTGTGCCTGACAGTATTTGACAGCAATATGCAGCATAATATCATTACACTCTGTAATATTATATGCTACCTACATGTCGAAAACAACTAAACGGACCGATCTAAGTCATAAACCCAAAATCAGTATTTTATCA